CTACTACCTCATCCATCAAATCAAACTGCATGTACCACTTTAATGTGCATTCTCATCCATCTGAACAGACACGACACAGAGGTAGTTATGTCACCGATTAGCCGAACACACATTCCAGTGTGGTTTAATAAAGCGACGGACGATAAGTTCGAAACATCTATGTCATTACTTGGGCAGAAAAGACTCAGTTCTTCATTCACAACACAATAAACAAGAATATTGAAATTTTTCAAGAATCATTACATTACTTTCTTAAAGCCATTAGCTAAATTCACATTTTTCAATAACCTTATTCGAACTCCCTTCTGCTTTCTGGTTCACACTGAAAACAACATCGGCGGAGACATGAATGTTTCAAAATGAAAAACCCTTTATACATGCATCTTTCGATAGCGCACTTTCTCCCAAAACTAAATTGTACTACAATCAGTTCATCAATGGGTCATCGTCTATCTTGACAGAAACATTTAGATAACAATGGCTGTGCAAAATGAGAAAAACGTTTTCTTTCCTTTATCTTAAAAGATAATAATCGTGCTTTTCTTAACAACAACAATTGAATAAAAGAATCCATGCATGATAAGTGAATGGTGATTACATACAGAGATCAGACAGCAGATAAACCAACTGTAAACGTGTAAGCGAATAGTCTCTAACAGTTATCCGTCCCGCGATGCGACGAACCAACGCAGTAATGTAATAATGCAATCGATCGATGGACAAACTGGATGAATACAACGAATGCCGGGCGAGAATCAACACACTAATAAATGCTGCTCAATCCTATGACAGACAAAATGCAAACTCGAAACAACCCTATCTGTTCTGGTTGGTTTTACACAAAATAAGGGTAAAGGGTACCATTTTTAGGCAGTCTATGAACCAAGTTTTGAGTCACTCACTACAGAATGCCCTCGATTCAATCGTATCTAAAATCGTATGCTATGGATAAAAGTGTTTTTCTACATTGTGATCACACTTCTTCTTCTGAACTATTCTGAATTTCATTGCTATCTTTGTTTGGATTGCAGCTTACAAATTCTGATCGTTTACCAGCCCAACACTGACCGGAGCGGCTTTTCTACTTTGCATCCTCTATGATCAATCACACGAATAGATTGTTCAACAGTGAGTATTCTTTCAAAGTATTCAGAGGATGATGGAGAGAACATCAGAAGAAATGCTCAGTTTTACTTTCACAGAATTTAAGTTTCCCTTCCTCTTCTTGTGTTATTATGTCTTCTGTGAATTATGGATCACAACGGTACTTGTGTACGATTTCACAGACGTGTTCTTCTTGGGAGTTATACTATTCCTCAAATGTTTGATATATTTGATTGAAGGGATAATGACTGAAGACATGCACAGGTTTCCATTGCTGTTCTGCGACGAATGCGCACATTCGCTCACAGACACTGATTGATCGTGACTTTCATTTTCGTTGGTTGGGCAGAGCTCATGAACTGTGTTTTGTCTCACCATAAACACACTTAATAACATCCGTGTCAGATGAAACAATAAAACAAGGGGCGGGAACGAAAACATGTTTTTATGCTGGAAATCAATATTTACTTTAGCCTCCTTCTCTATAATGTTACGGGCTCAAAATATCCATACCTTTAGGAAAATAAACGTTATTTGAAACCCGTTTAGGACGTCATCAAATTACCGCGGAATGTCCCTTAGAAGAAAGTGCACAGAAGTGACTTCGGACCCCGTGAAACGTTTTATAGTGAAAGACGATCCTTTGGCATTCACTATTCATCCCTTGTTGTACGTTATTCCATTTATGGTCATCCCATATGATTGACCAAATAATTTCAATTCGAAAAATCTCTTAGAATTGTTAAAAACCGCAAACATGTCAAACTTTAGGGTTTACATAGCAGTTTGATGAAATCCAGTACTTCAACAAAATGAACTTACTACCGTGTAGATTTGACGTGTAGAAAGCTCCCCACAACGGAATTAATTTACCAACCGGTTGAAACTATTCCGATCGTGGAGTCAGAGCTAAGTATATATGATATATGTGTATTGCACATGATTTCTACTAAATATCAGGCAGTTGTACAGACTTCTGATATGGATTGGCACATTATTGAGAAAGAGTCCAGCATAAGTTAAAATTTGCTCGGTAATTCCTTTGTTTATGCCTCCTAAACTGATGTGCCAATCTGGAGTAACCAGGAAGACGCAACTTTTCTGGCGCAGTGTTGTGTTGCCGTAAAAATCAGAGCGATCTCATTGAGGAAAATAATTGTGCCATTGACTTTTATTTGGCGGAAAGAGGTAGATCGCAATTCGGGTAAGTAACTTGCGACTGCTGCGAAAATTTCAACTGGAGGCATGACAATTATCTGTCTATTTACACAGATCTAACTGCTTCTTAATGAGAAATATCAACAGATGATTCGATTGACAGCCTCCAAAACTGTAAATATCCTAGGTACCGTGAGTAGTTGGGTTATGCCAGATTCAGGTGAGCCTTGGAATGGCATACGACACCTGGAAGGAGTAGTGCTCTCTGTGGAATGCGTATTGTGCCAACGCGTGGAAGGTGTCCTTGAGTAGACTCGAATCCCAGCGACGACGCTGGCAGAATTCCATGAATATATACAAGACAAACATAATTTAAACACACTTAAATCTCTCATTGGTGGAATCTTTTATACCTTAGAATTGCTTAAATTCCTTGTCCCACTGAAACCGATTTATAAATTAATTTTAACGTAGTTCGAAGACTGAAAAATATTGGGTGGTCTAGACAATGGCATGTTAGTAACCAAATTCATGGTAATCATACGCCTGACCAATTCTGACTTACAATGTCTAATGACCGTTCCAGATTTCGCATGCTCCACTGCTGCAAAACGAGCACTCGAAGTCCAGGTGAAGCCAAGTCCAATAATAACGGCCAATTCTCAACGTGTTGCATACCAAATCGCTCTGTGATGAGAAACCAAACCAGATCGAATTAGTTATCATAAACTGACAACGTACAGAGTGATCTGCAAGCAGTTTCCGTGCCACTTAAACACAAACATTATTTTCCTAAACTGCCCCTGGTGAAAATTACGAGCCCCGCTGTTACACAAGGAGCCAGATCTGTGAACTCAATTCAATTGTCTATGGATGTCCAAGAAGTGCCAAGCTATGTTTCTGTAGACAATATTGATAACACCATAGAAGAATCGCCAAGAACGTACATGAAGGTTTCACTGTTTTTCGGTCTATAAAAACGTGTTTGTCCTCCAGACTGCGTATCCATTTGAGATCAAATGGAAAAGCTCGAACTGCCATTTTAACAAACGTTTTCATTTCACCGCACTACTGGTCACGTATCGGGTAGAGACCAGGTAACTATTGACCATCACTAAATAACATGTGCAATGCGTCTGTTTGGTGATCTTAGCCTACGGGATGACGCAAACCACGGAGCTGCATGGTACATGTTTTCTGCGATGAATCAAACTTCCCGGGTGGTGTCATCAAAGCGCCTACGCCTTACAGGTTTAGGACTACAAACCACGGGCCGGTTGTATCAGCCAGTCAGAAGCCGTGTGACCCAGACAGAAGCTGTACAACTCCAGAAATACTAGCACGCGCAGTGTAGAGGCATGGACGATCAATGAACTTGTTTTGTGCATATTATTTCAACTCCATGATTTCCTTCAATAGACAAACTGCTATTCCTATGACCTTTCTCTCGCATCTCGGTTACGTGGGATGCTGTCGTGCTAGTCCCAGTGTGATCCAGTGCTTACGGGTCTCCCGTAATTTCTAACACGTGATTCCTAGTTCGTAATCAGTTCATACTACAAATATTAGTCTGGTAGGTGGATCCCATCATGGGTGGGTCAAATTCATGTATATCGCTTTGTGTGAAATTCGGTGTATAAAAGGGATGTTGATGTAAATTGTGAGTTGACATCCTCCTCCATCGATTTTGTATGCATTTAGTAAACAAAGGTTTAATCGGAACGAGTACTCCAGAATGAGACAGGAAGCCGTTCAAACGTCTTCCACATGATTGAATTTGGAGTATATCCAAAATCCAATTAAAGTTCTAGTTGGTAGTATGTTATGGACTATTTGTTGGACAAACGCACGCATATCCTGATGTTTTCTTTCTAATTTTATCAAATATGTATGTATGTATTTTGCGTATCCGTAGTCCGGTGCTCCCACAACGCATAGATTGCATTATAGCTGGCGTTTAAAGGAAACGGTTAAAACACTTATCATCATCGTTCCGGTTGATTCGGTATGTATATTCGATAAGGCCTGTGAATCATTTGGCTCTAACACACTTTTTGTAAGTCCAATATTTTTCCCGTTTATGTGATAATTTAGGATAATTCACCTCACCACCTTCCGGTATGAACACGCGAAATATCTGATTTGAGTTTTTAAAAACATCGCAATCAAAACAAGTTCGAATGAAGTGGGCCATTTCCATCTCTTTTCCGATGAATCTGCTTTCTCATTATTGGTGATGGTGAGGGTAAAAACCAATTTGTTCATGTGCATACCGGTGATATTCCCATCCCGAATAGGAGTGGTGAACTGGTGAAATAATTAGATTGTAATGATTGAAACAAAATAGCAATGGAAATGATCGGAAATCAATCAATCAATCAATCGACCAAACGATCAATCAATTATTACAAATCATTCTAAGCTCGATCTGTCTGTCATTCAAGTGACAGTTGATTTACAGAAAAAATAAACTGCAGGTGACAAGGCTTCACCGTTTAATTCTTTACGCATTTCTAAAGTTTTTCTACAATTATTTTCCGAATTACACTTCTGTACAATCAAACCTGGTATTGAAATGTGTGTTATTCCAACGCACGCGATTTGATTGCCTTAAAAGGACGGTATTCCGCTCACGGTAAGTTTAACATGTAACAATAATTTTCTGATAAAGTTAGTTTATAAATTAGCTTCAGTGATGGATGTCTGTGAAGTGTGGGAACGAATTTGTGAAACAGAAACTACAGGGCTCCGACCAGATCAATTAAACTCCTATGGGAATGAATTAGCCAAGGCAAGTACCTCAATGTTGCTGCAGTCGGTAATCCGAGGGGATTAAGTTTTTCTTTTTCAAAGTAAAACTGTGAATAGGATTTCAGAAAGTGATCCGCAAATGGATTTGTCCTCTCAAACTTTTCCTGTGGACGATAATCCAGGGCTATTAGTGATTGCAGTTTGAATGGCTGACCTGAGGATGAGTATAGGTGAAAGCAAATGATGTACCTTATTTTCTCTCGTTACCAAAACTATTTTGAATGAATCGGTGGTTCTGCGCCTGCGATTGTTCTCATTGAAATCAGTTGAAAGTACCTGTTTTATTAATAGAACAGTCCGGGTTATAAGGAATTTGAGACTACTTTTGGAACGCTGTTTGCCCATGATGCTCTGATGCGCTGGACTATCCAAGTGCGTCTCATGTTTTAATCATCATTATAAAATGACTGCATTTGGAACATTTAGTATTCCAGCTGGTCCATGATCCGCTTTTCCCCCCCGAAAGACCAACATTAGTGGTTGATTGGCGAGTTAGATTTGTCTCGTGGAGCACTATGTTTCCAACCTGTCTATTTAATGTCAATAAACTGTAATGTTTTCATGCAAATTCAGTTTAGGGTGCCCTGTTAATGCTTTATTCATTTTTACTGTGTACCATTCACTCCATGGGCTCTCAAAGTGAACTATATCTGAAGTTTATGTTTCAATTACATGATTTCAATGTCAAATTAAGTGTCAACTCTGATACGATTATATTTGTATTAGCCTGCCCAAAATGATTTACGTGCATGGATACCCATACTTTTCGGTAATCTCTCACAAAAGAAGCTGAGTTGTGAATATGTGTTGAGTCAGTAATTTGCACTGTTAGTCATGACTTTTGTTAAATGCAAGGTTATCACGACTATTTAAGGGCTTTTCCACTTTGTTCAACCTAATGCCATTGCAGTCGCACAAATGATAATCAGGTGCACCATATCTATATATATATACTAAATACTATACGTCAGATTGAAAATGTAACTCGATCCGTTTTGCTCATTAAGATTACTGTTTCTCAAGAATATGACGAGTCTATGCCAATAGCATTCATTCAGTAAGTATTTGGGGAACCAATGGATCAATTGGTTGAGTAGTTCAATATATTGTACGGGTTCTGACCTAGATTTGCGCTTCCCCTGTAGAGATTTTTGGACGGTATTAAAAACATCCTTCAATTTTCTATAATCTTTACAATCAAAAGACGCTCAGAAATCTCCAGACGGATTATAATGTCGAATGAAGAAGAATCCTATAACTATCTTGCCAGAACCATGACGACAATCTGATATGGTGATCTGGCTTCATCACCGGAAGCGTGCAATGGTATTGAACAAAAACACTCACCAATTTGTCTGTGGCTGACAGGAAGCGGAAAGAGCCATGCATGATTGCCGTCTGTTTTCCTCCTTCTCAAAACTCACCCAATTCTTCAAATATCAAAGCATATTTGGAAGCAAAACTGATGACTGCATCATTGACAACAATTGTGTAATCGACGCAATCAGTAGCAAACGAGCACTCTACGATATATTCCACCATCAATTTGTATATCTTTCAGACGCAGTCAACGACAACTCCGTAATCGTGTAAGAACGAGATACATTTGAGATCGGTTTGAAATTGTTTGTTCATAATTAGGTTATGCAATGTTTGATTGAAGAATTCGGGAAATCTTTCTTCAGTTTTTGCTGTTCACTTAGTGTCTGCGCTGTCGAGTTTTACCGTAGTATCATGGCACTGTTTCGCCCAGTAGAGAAACCGCACGCACACATTGTGCGACTGAGACGGTGCCTTTTGGGTGATTCCGGTAGTAACTACTACTTATCATATGCAATCGACGCCGAGGATTTATGTAACGCAATTTGAGCTCACATCTAACATAATCGTATCTGGTCATCATTATGGATTCCATGAACTGGACGAAACGAAAGAAGGTGTCGTGAATCTAGTACTGTACACTCAGATCGCACAGTGTATGCTTCCCCCATCTACACAACTGAGCTCAACCAATATTAGGCTAGCTACAATTCAGTTAGAGCGAGAGAGAGATAGAACTGTAACGCCGGATTCAAATGGGATCGAAAGCAAATATGAGTCATCTAATACCAAATCAAAACAAATTACCGATGGATTTATTACCTGCCAATGGTTTTAATAATTTCTTTTTCAAGGAGGCTGCTTCGTCATCCACATAACTGGCGTATTTGTGTAAGATCGAAAATGTTACATAGTCCTGAAGATCACTGAAAACAGAAAGAAGCGATAGTAGTGTAAATATGCGATCACAGTGAATCCGTATTGCACTGGACCAGGCAAATGAGGCTTAGCGTTGTGAAGTAAAGCAATCGGGAATATCAAAAGATACTACAGGAAAATGAGTAGAAAATAATGATATGAACATTGAACCGTGAATCAGTCTAGCTGCTTGAATGTGAGGTTGTTCACATCTACTTAACTGCTCTTTTGCTTTCAATAATGCTGTTGTG